ATCGATCACTTTCCTCTTTGGCCCCATAATCTCCTTGATCAGAACATTTGGGACACTACTGAGTTACATGACGTTACAGTACAAGTTCTCCTATGTCCTGAGTCTTAATTGACCTTGGAAGTCTAGGGCCAAAATGTTGGCTTTCCTTGTGGCCCTCCTTTTTCTCTAATTTTGGTCTGCAAACTTAGGTTGTTAACCCTCCATCCCAGTACTATTTCTAGAGAGGCTGTCTTTTCTCCAGTATATATTTTTGGCTCATTTGTCAAAGATCAGATGGCTATATGTGCCTGGAGTTGTTTTTGCTCCTCTGCTTCTTTGCTACACTTATCTGTTTTTGTGCCAATACCATGGTGTTTTTATCCCTGTAGCTTTGTAGTACGACTAGCTATCTGGCATCGTGATGCCTCCTGCATTGCTCTTATTGTCCAGAATTGCTTTTGCTATTTTCAGTCTGTTTTGATTTTCCAATGAATTTTAAAATTGTTTTCTATTACATTTATTGATTTGTGTAGATTGAACCATCCTTATATCGCTGGGATAAAGTCTACTTGGTCATGATGCATGATATTTTTGATGATGTGTTGCCTTCTGTTTGCCAATATCTCATTGAAGATTTTTGGTATATCTTCATTAAAGAGATTTGTCTGTAGTTCTTTTTGGTTAGATTCTTGTCTGGTTTTAGAATCAGGGTAATGCTAGCTTCCAGGAATGATTTTGAGTACGCCTTCTCTTTTGATTTTATTGAAGAGGTTGAGGAGTATTTGCTTTAGATTTTCGCAGAAGCTTTTGTAAATTTGATAGTGAATCTTTCAGGACCTCAACTTTCTTTAGTTGGTAGAACATTCTCAATGACAGTTATGATTGAAAGCTATTTTGACTTAGTCCTGTAATTCTATTATTTTTCTGTTGCTGATTTCCTTTTCTTCCCATTTGAAGGAGTGTTTCCCTTGCTTTATGTATTCTAGTAGACTTTTTGACATTATTGATTTAACTGTCTCTTCTACAATGTTCTTGGGAATTTTTTGGAGTGCTGGTTTTCTGGCCATGAATTTCTTAAAAGCCTTGTCATGGAAACAGCTCATTTCTCCATCTTTTTTTCCTCCATCAGCTATTTTGCAGAATGCATTAGCCTGGGTTACAAGTTGTTTCTTGCTATGGCGTAAGACACTTCCATTTTGTGCCCTCTGGGCCTTTTGCATTTGTGTTGAGAAGCTTGCTGTAATTGTTTTGGGTTTAGTTTTATCTTGAAAGTGGCCTACAAGACTATCATCAAATGAATGGGAAAGGAAAACCTGGTATTTGTACAGAATGGAGTATTATCATAAAGAAGGATAAATTTGAGTCATCTGTAGGAAGATAAATGCACCTTGAGACAATAATGGTAGATGAATAAATCAGACAGACAATTTTAAATAACACATAGCAAGCTGGCGGGACTCAGCAGATGAAGCCCCTGCTTTGGCAAGTGCAGGGACCAGATTCAATCTGGGTCCCACATGCTGCACCGGCCCCGCCCCTGGTGGCACAGACCTGTAATCCCAGTGCTGGGGAGGATCACCACGAGTCCAGTCTGTGGCGTGAGATCCTGTACCAAATACACAAATGAAAATAGATAAATAAATGAATAACACATAGCTTCTCTTATTTGAGAAATTCAAAATATAAATAATTTAAAGAACAAAATAAAAGATGAAAAGAAATAGGGAGAGAGATCTTTGCAAATGGGAAAGGACCCAAGAGGTAAGTGAAGGGGACGGGAGGGGAGAAGTAACAAAAAGAATAAGATGTGTTATGTACATATGCCAACACTTATAGTGAATGTAAACATTCTATACAGTAGTTATTGTTGCTTTGATCATTTTATACAGCAAACACATAGTAGCAAAATTTAAAAAGGAAGCTGGGCATAGTGGCATATACCTGTCATCCCAGTGCTTGGGAAGCTGAGGTAGGAGAATCACATGAATTTGAGCCCAGCCTGAGATAGCCAAGTGAGCAAGTGAGCCTGCACTATATAATGAGACCCTGTCTCTAAAACAAAAAAACACAATAAGATAAAACAGAACAATGCCAGTCTATGTCTAATACATTAGAGGCACCCATTACATGTATAAGAAAAATGACACAGTAGGTATCATAAGATACAGAGAAAACATTCTTCCTTGTCTACTAAGTGCAAAAATAATAGTTTCATGCAGAAGTGTGTGCAGCCAGGGTGAAGTTTTAGGTCCATTTAGTTTGGCTATTAGGTGTTTAGTCCATGTGAGCCCCTAGTATGTCCATAGCCATACTATGGACTCTGGCTATCAGTTTCTAAAACATTGTAATAACTGGAAAGCTAGAAAAATTACATTTGAAGCATAATGGTGTTGGATCACAAGGCCAAAAGAAATGCATATTTAAAAAAAATTAGATAGAATCTCAGTATGTACTTCATACTGGTCTTGAATTCACTATGTAGCCCAGGCTGGCCTTGAACTCTTGATGATCTTCCACCTGCCTCAGCCTCCTGAGTGCTATGATCATACCACCATGGTTGGCTTCATATATGTGCTGTGAAAGTGAGCACATCATGCCCAGCAAGATATGCATTCTTTTTTACAAAATTAATTTATTTTAATTAATTAGTTATTTGGTACAGGGTCTCACTACGCATTAGTAATCCTGTCTCAGCCTCCCCAGTGCTGGGATTACAGGTATGCACCACCACACCCCCTTTTGGTGGCCAGCTTTGTGCAGAGCTGGCACAGCATGTGGTACCAGGGATTGAACCCGGGTCCTTGCACTTGCCAGGAAGGCGCTTAGACTGCTGAGCTATCTCCCCAGCAAGGTATGCATTCTTTAAGCTTAATGAGAATAAGAAATGGGCCAAGTGTAGTTATGTGAAGCCTTCTGTCTTGGAGGACATCCTATTTATGCTTGACCTGGGCTAAGGGGATTTCTGCTACTAAGGTAGTCCCAGAAATGTTGAGTAGAACCAAATCTTCCATGGGGCTTTTACTGTCTTGATGAATCCTGTAGTGGGTCCTCCAGGTTCCAACATCTCACCTGAGTGTGGCATTTTGAAAACATGGAGTATGTCACAGCTTTGTCATCCTGGCCTTGCCTTTATCTATCCCAGGCATACTGGTGCAAAGTACTCAGTGTACTGCAGTCTGCCCTGGCAGAGGATGTCTTTAAAGAAGAGAACTGGGCTGGACATGTACTTCAGTTGGTAGAGTACTTGCCCTTGGCTCAATATGCAACAAAGTGAAAATAATGAAGAAGGAGGTGGACTAGAGAGGAATGAGTATTTGGCTGTGGGACAGTTTTCATTTCAAGTTTGAAACAATGGCAATTAAAGTTTGGCTCATTGTGCCCTTAAATTAATCTCATTATTTTTCAATAGTAAAATATGGTTTTACTGACTTTCTTATAGCAACTGGTAGACAATAATTTGACTTAGATGAAAGGCAAAGACAGGGCTGAGTAGTTATTGTTGCTTTGATCACTCTTCCTTGATAATCTTTGTCCCTCATTTTAATAGAAAGGAAAGGACTTTGGATTTTTTCCCAGAGATGCAGTCCAGACTGAAGAGGTGTTCATATCTGAAGAAATTCAAATATCAACTAAAGTGAGTAAGCTCATCTTCATCTCTTAGCTGAATTTAAAATTTCTTGGCTAAAACAGTTTTTAAGAAGTGTTTATTATTCGTTATCTCATGTAGTGAATGCATAAAATAGTTGGTCTGACTACTCATGTATAATTTGAATATGTAAGAACAATGAGGCAAGACAAAACTGATGACAGTTAAGTATTTCTACTTTCTGAACAATTATGAAGCAGGCAATACAGTGTAATGATTAAATGCATGAATTCTGGAGATGTCCTCAGTTTAAAGCCCAAGCTAACTCCTCAGAGTGATGTGACCATATATCCTCCGAATTCTTCAACTGTACAACAAGAGTGTTGAGTATAATATGGCTACTTCAATTTTATTGAGGAATAAATGAATTATGTTAAGCATGCAGATGAGCACTTTTTTATTTTATATTTTTTTAAATTTTTATTTATTTATTTTTTGAGCACTTTTTTAAGATTGCCTTTTGAATCAAGGTTTCCCTATGTAGTTTAGGCTGGTCTTGAACTCACTGTGTAGCACAGGCTGGCCTTGGATTCATGGAGTCCTCCTGCCTCAGCCTCCTGAGTCCCAGCACTATAGGCATGTGCCATTGTGCCCATCTGGATGAGCATTTAGATGTAACCATTACAGCTGTTGTCTTTCTAGCCCAAAGATTGTTTCATACCACTCCCAAGGCCTGTCCATCTCTTTCTTTTTTTTTTTTCTTTTTTGTCCATCTCTTTCTGTGTTGTATTTTTTTTGTTTTGTTTTGCTTTTTTTTTTTCTTTTGAGACAAGGTCTCTCTATGTAGTCCAGGCTGGTCTTGAACTCACTGTGGAGCCCAGGCAGGCCTCAAACTCCCAGCAATCCTCCTGCTTCAGCCTCCTGTGTGCTGGGATTACAGGTGTTCCCCACCTTGTCCATCTTGGTTTTGGAATTTTAATGAATTTATTTATGTTGGGCTTGATAATAAGGAAGAAAATTTAAAACGTGATTTTTAATATATGACCTTGATTGCACATTTAATTCAGATCCCAGATTGAGGCCAGTATGAAGTGAGTCTGTCTAATTAAACTATTGCCTGACTCTTTTCCAGTGTAAACTCTGAGATTAATTGTCCACTTAACTCTTTACAATTGGTCCTGCCCCTTCTGTCTCTGTAATGTATCTGGGCTATATTTATTTCTTCTCTCACGGTGCCTCTAATCCAAAGCACCCTTTTTTTCTGGTTGAAATCATACAATGGCCTTCCAGCTGTTCTCCTTGCCTCTCCTTTTGTCTTCTTCCGATCCATTCTTTACACAGCCAAAAAGCTTATAAAAATAAAAACAAAAGTCTGATCCTGCATTCCTTAGGTAAAAGTCCTTTCAGGGCTTTTCACTGGACCCGGTAGTGCCAGGTGTCTGACCCTGGCTCAGAGGCCCCCTTGCTCACCTCTGCCCTCTCCCCTCATGGACCCTGCTCCTAGCCAGACTGACCTTTAGGTTGTCCATGTTCCTGGCCAGGGCTTCCTGGATGAATTCTTTCTGAGCCCAGGGAACCTCCTGAGTAATCAAACAGACTTTTTTTTTTTCAGATTCAAAAACTTCCTCCAGGGCCAGCCACATAACTCAGTGGGCTAAAGCGCCTGCTTAGGCAGAGCCCAGTGGCCAGGGTTCGATCCCTGGCATGCCGTGCCAGCCCCACCTGTGGGGCGCACTGAGACAGGGATTGAGACTGGGTGTGGTGGCATGTGCCTGTAATCCTAGCTCTGGGGAGGCTGAAAACAGGAGAATCACTATGAGTCCAACCTACATAGTGAGATCCAGTAGACCCTGTAGACTCCGTAGACCCTGTCCTACAAAAAAAAAAAAAAAAAGAAAAAAAAACATGGTCAAATGATATCTATTGCTTATTGCATACCTAGGATTTATATGCTGATCCATCTCGATTACCATTTAGCAGGTGTGGTGGTGCTTGCCTGCAGTCCCAGCATTTGCAGAGGGAGGAGGATTGCCAAGAGTATGAGACCAGCCTGAACTACAAATTAAGACCCTAAAAACCAAACGTCAGGCTGGGTGTATAGCTATGTAGGTTGGACTCATCCATAGCACAGTGTCAGGAATATAGTAAACGCAGTTACCTGGATTTATTGTTTTTCTTTTCCTTTTTCTTTTTGAGAAGGGCCTCATTGTGTTACCCAGCTGGCCGTGAGCTCCCCATACTCCTCCCTTAGCCTCCTGAGCAATCAAAAAATTTGAATTTTGAACACATAACACCACAACCATCATACCCCAGATTCTTAGACCAAATTCCTGGGAAACAGACATTGACATACAGACGGCACACCAGGGATCGAACCCTGGCTGCTGGGCTCTGCCTAAGGAGCAAAAGAAAGCTCAGGATCAGGCAACAGAGAGGTTGATGTGCCATGCAGTTAAAATAAATGTTGTCAGTTCTACAAGTAGCTCTGAAGTTCAGGTTGTGCTTTGGAGTTATCCTGTGTGGAGGTGAGGGGGCTAGAGTATGTTTTATTTTTTTAATCTTTTAAAATTTTAAAATTTATTTATTTGGTACAGGGTCTCACTATGCAGCTTATACTTATAGTGACCCTCCTAACTCAGCCTTCTCAGTGCTGGGATTACAGGTATGCACCACCATGCCTGGTTTCTGTGGCTCGCACGGCATGCGGTACCAGGGATTGAATCCAGGTCCTTATGCTTGCCAGGCAGGCACATAGGCTGCCGAGCTATCTTCCCAGCCCCAAGAGCATCTATTCTGGATTGTGGGGTACATGTGTTGTTTTCTGGACTGGTGTAGCTGTGAGCTGAGCTAGGCTAGTGTGTTCTAGAGACAGTCAGAAACTAGCTAGACCACTGTCTTGGTCTGTTGTGTTATTTTAACAAAATACCAGAGACTGGGAAACTTATACAATAAAGAAGTTTATTTCTTCTTCCTTCCTTTTCTTTTCTTTTCTTTTCTTTTCTTTTCTTTTTGTATTTTAGGGAAGAGTCTACAGGGTGTTCAGGATCTCACTACTAGATCAGACTTGTGGTGATCCGCCTGTTTACAGCCTCTCAAGAACTGGGATTGGGGCCAGGGAGATGGCTCAGTAGGATAAGCGCTTGACCGGCAAATGAAAGGATCTGAGTTCAATCCCCAGTTCCGAAAAAAAAAAAAAAAAAAAAAAGAGCTGGGATTACAGGTGTGTGCCACACGCCGAGTCTCAGTTGCCATCTCAGCATGACCTGAGGGCTGGGCTGGCACTGCAGGCCCCTGCACCTGCTTGCAGGCACTTTAATCCACTGAGCTATTTGGCTGGCCCTTCATTTCACCTTTGAGCCCATCTTCTCATGCTGCTGTAGTAAGGATCAGGTTTTTAAGTTGTGCATTTTGGGGAGTATGTTCAAACCATAGAATGCACACCTAAATCTCTACACAGAAGCCTCTGCCCACAGATTCTCAGGAGGTGCGAGCTTTTGAGTATGCATGCCTTTTCATCAGAGCTTATTTGCAGAATATATTCAAAGCAATTGATTCTCTCTGCTTGTCAACCATTTACTAACAAGCCATAATATAAAGGGATTTTCATTGGTTTTATATCATTAGCTCCTAGAAGTAAACTGTGATACAAATGTTTGAGATTAGATCTGACTTTAGTTTTGTTCTGCTGCCAAACTCATTGTGCATTCTTGGGAAGATCAAAGTCAGCCCTTTTAAGTGGTTCAGGTAGGAACAAGGAGCTTTAGTACATTTACACCAACATGATTTTTTTTCTTTCAGGAATCTGATTTTCTTTGTCTTTTTGGAGTAAGCTACATGTTTGAAAATGGAGATAGTGAGTTAAACCATGATACTAGTGAAAATATTGAGCTATATGAAGAAGACCAAGACCCAACATATGGTATATATGAAAGTGACTTCCACATAGAACCTGAATTCTCTGCAACTCCCCCAAGTACTTTGTTTGAAGAGCAGTTTTCAGCATCAGAGGATCCTGTAGGTATCAGAAGTGCTGGGGAGTTAGATACCCAGGAAGAGGCAGAAGCAAGCAGCGTGGAACAGGATCTAATCCCAGAAAAAGATTATGTTTCTCCACTCTTCCCTGTGCCAGAAGTACAAGGGCAATTTGGAATAGGGACACAAGCTCAAGAGAAGGTTTCTGAGTCTCTTACTGAGCCCGTCCAAGAAAGCTCATTTCGAAGTAGAAAAATAGCAGTGGAAGATGAGACTGACCTAGAGGAATTAAGCAGTGGTGACCCCCATGCAGAACACAGGCGTGAACTTGACTCAGAATTTGCATCATTGCTGGAGGAACAGCCTGAACGAGCCCTGGACTCAGAGCACATTCTCCAGCCGCAAGCCACTGGCTGGTTTGGGAGTGGGTTTACAAGTTATTTAGGTTTCGATGAGGAGGATACAGGACTTGAGTTATTATCCAAAGAAAGCAGTCTGCCACTACAAGATATTCCCAGTTCCATATCATCTGATGAAACAGCCCCGGCTCCACCTACAGAAATGTTAACAGAAACAGAAGACACAGTTACTAACAATAGCTCAGTTCTCAGGCCAGGTTGGTTTGATTTTGGTTTTGGCATACTAAGCTTTGCATATGCCAGTGAAGAAAAAATAATATCAGATGTTGGGATAAATGAAGAAGACAGTGGGGTGAATATATATGAATACCCTCATGCGAGTGAATTTGACCCTGCTAAGGAACAGAAAATAGAAAGGACTAAAACTGTAGAAACAGAAGATCAAGCAGAAAAGGAAGAAGTCTTTGAGAAAACAGATGACTCTGGTACCATACCATATTTGAAAAAGTTCTTGTATAATTTTGATAACCCTTGGAGCTTTGAGAATGTTCCAAAAGAAACAGAATTGCCATTTCCTGAAGAGATAATGGATCAAAATAATATAGTTGAACATCATGAAACAGAAGAATTTTCAGTTGAATTTTATCCCACAGATAATGTGAAAGATCTCATGATGTTTGAAAGCCAACACAGTCAATCAGGTTGGTATGAAAATATTTATTATATAATTTTTTTGTCAACATAATTTATTTTTATAGTACAAATTAGATGGAAAAATCCATGAATCCACGCTTTTCAAAACAATGAAAAATCAATAGCCATCATCCTTTTATCAATCTCTGTTTTACTCAAGAACTTGCTGTACTATGATAAAATGACTGACATAAGGGGAAAAGAATGAGTGCAGATGTTTTGATATTCTAAGAAGATCTTATGATATTTTACAATATGTGTAAAAATATATAACATATAATATCAAAATATCATATGTAAATAGGTTTAAAATTTTAAATAGTGCTAAGAATTTTTTTAAAACAAAAACAGTTTCTGTTCCCTCTGTCATTTTTACTCCCACATTGGCCCCAGAGATGATAATTTTTTTTTTAAAGCAAAACTCTCTTTAGTATTTTTTTCTAGTTTTTCTAAATAAAATCTAGGGGCATGGAGATAGCTCAGCAGTCTAAGTGCATGCTCAGGCAAGCTCAAGGGCCTGGGTTTGATTTGCGGTATCATGAACCATGCCAGCCCTACCCTGGGCATGCCAAGCTGGCCACCGAAGCTGCGGGGAAAGGCTGAAACAGGAGCATCACTACAAGTCGCAGTTGCATAGTGAGACCCCGTAGCAAATTAATAATAATAACAATAATAAAATCTTATTCTCTTTTGTTTATCTATTTTGGACAATATCTATAGTCTTCCTATCCCGGTAGATGAAATTTTCACTTATTTGTACTCCATTTTTTAGACCTTCTCCAAAGCAACCATATATATATATGCTACTGTGCTGCATTCCCAGGCCAAACTGGTTATGTTCTAGAGGAAAAAGGAAAGATTCCAATGAAACAAAACAGTATCAGTTCCGGAGGTACAGAAGATTCAAGGTTGATATATAAACATATTTTAGAAAAAAAATATATTTTTTTAAATTAAATTAAATTTTTTTATTTTAGGACAAGGTCTACAGGGTCTCACTGTGTAGACTGGACTTGTAGTGCTGGGGAGGCTGAAACAGGAGGATCGCTATGAGTCTAAGATACATAGTCAGATCATGTACCAAATAAATAAAAGATTAAAAAGCAAAAGAAAATTCAAGCCCAGCCTGGGCAATTTATTGACTCAGTGAGACCCTGCCTGACAAATAAAAAATGGAAAAAAGGCTGGGAATGGAATGGAATGCGAAGGTCCCAAGTTCATTCACCTGTACCCCAGTATTGAAAAAATAATTACTGATATGTATTTGCTTATCTGAAATTTTTATCTTTTAGGTAATGTGAAATAAAGATAGTATCAAAGGGCCGCTGTTTCAAAATCATTATTGGAGGACAGGGGCTGCTGTCCAGGGATAGGGTGCTTAGGAGGCCCTGGGTTCAGCTTCCCTGTTGGGGGAGGAGAGGAGCAAAGAGCAAAGAGCAAAGAGCGCAAGGAGCAAATCCACCCATTTAACTGTTCACTTACTACAGAGTATTGCTTTTCAAGGCCACACTGATGCTTTTGTTTTGTTTGTAATCCTTGTTTCATGTGGATTTGTTTTTTGTTTCTTGTTTTGTCTTTTTGAGACAGGGTTTCACTGTGCAGTTCAGGCTGGATTGAGCTCACTTTGTAGCCCAGGCTGGTCTAGAACTTGCTAAGATCCTCCTGCCTCAGTCTCCCAAGTGCTGGGATTGCAGGCATGCACCACCTTAATCCTTGTTTTAAAAACTAATTGAGAAGTAGATTCTAATATTCATTTGATTTTTGTACTTTAGGATAGGATTAATTAGAATTTTTCAAGGTTGCAATGTGTTGATTATTGGAACTATCCTACCGATTTGATTTGAAACTATCTCATTGCTTTTTATTTCTCAATAAAATTATGAAAAAAAGAAAAGAATTTTTCAAGGTGTGGTCACCATGCCTGTATCCCGACACTTTGGAGGCCGTGGTAGGAGGATAATCAGGAGTTCAAGGCCAGCCTGGGGGGTACATAGTTCAAAGTGAGCCTGAATTACATAGCAAGACCTTGTCTCAGTATATATATGTAATAAAAAGGAGCACTTTTCCTGAAAACTAATTTGTACATTTCCAATATGAAAACTACATAAATCAAAATCTGCCACGTTTGTAACATTGCATCATATAATTATGTCCACATCAAGTCAAAATAGCCATTAATTTAAGAAAAATCAGTTTCTATCTGGGTGTAGTGTTGTGTACTTGTATTCCCAGAAGTTGGGAGGCTGAGGCAGGAGGATTGCCAGCTGATGGCCTTCCTTTTGAAATCAAAGTTCTCACAGGATACGCCTACATATTTTTATTCTAAAGTTCAACTCAGGCATGTTGCAGTACATTTAAAGATTTAATTTGTGGCAGGAAGATCAGGATTTTTTTCTTTTTCTTTTTTTTGAGGCAGAGTCTCCCTATATATGCTAGGCTGAAACTTCTCAAGTGGTGGGATTAAAGACCTTACCATCATACCTTACCAGGAGCATTTTATTTAAACCTGTCATCAGATTCAAAATGAAACTATTTTTCCCAATGAAATAATCAGTTGGATAACATGGATTTTTATCTGGTATCATAGGTTTATCTAGTTTCTGTTTTTAAAATGTAGGGATAAGCAGGGCTTGGTGCATGCCTGTAATCCTTGCACTTGGGAGGCTGAGGCAGGAGGATCACCATGAGTTTAAGGCCAGCCTGGCCTACATAGTGAGTTAGGACCAACAGAAACTATATAGTGAGACCCTGTCTCAATGAAAAAGATAAACAAATGAAAATTATAGAGTAAGATTATAAAATTATAAATTGTCAAAATATACATTTATAGTTTCTTGAGATTCCCTTCAGTACTTGATGACAGTTTTCATTTTACTGAAGCAATATGTGAACTTCATTCAGTTACCAAAGGGAGCATCAGTCTTACGTGAGGTTTTCCATCTGGCAGACACATTCACAGAGCATAGATATGATTCAAAATAGAATTTAGGAGTGTGATCGGTAGCGGGAGCGGAGAGCGGACCCCAGAGAGCCCTGAGCAGCCCCACCGTGGCAGTGGCCTAGTTACCATCACACAGGGGGAGGAGCCTAATGCCATTAAGATAATGGTTTGGATAGTTAATAGTGTATATTTTCAAATATACATGATCTAGATAATTAGATTTTGGAACTTGGAAATTAATTGCTATAAGCTTTAGTATTGTCTTCCTTTGTACAACTGTTTGTTCTATTTATTAAATAGATTTTGTTTTCAGTATCAAGTAACTTGTAGCTACTACAAATAATTTTGATTATTTTGACTCTCTCTTTAACTGATAAAGTAAGAAAAGATTCTGTCTCCTTGATTTTTTTCCTTTTTGGTCTTTTTGAGATAGGGTTTCCCTATGCAGTTCAGGCTGGCCTTGAGCTCATTTTAGCCCAGGCTCGCCTTGAACTCAGCAATCTTCTGCCTCAGGAGTTCTGGGATTATAGGTGTGCCCAGCTCTATCACCTGGATTATCTTGAAAGGAAGATATAT